GAATGCTAGTATAAATGACTTATCAATTTCTAATTCTTTTTTAGATTCTGCGAGTGAATTTGGCTGTATGAATGATCTAGCAATAAATGCACTTGGATGGAAAGTTGATAAGCCATCTGATTTTGCTATAAAGGGGAACTCCAAGCATATCACTAAATCATTGGGATGGTTTACGAATGTGCCAGTGAGTATAAAAGATAAGGATGGTAAGACTGTTACAGCTACTGGAAATTTTACTCGTATTGATAATGGTGAGCCCAAACCAATGCTATGTTTAGGTATGACATGGATTCGAAAAGTTCAAGGTATTCTTGATCTGAATAAAAATTAATTCCAAATGAAGTTACATGGAAAGACTTACACTATCCCAACTTTTAGCAAGGCCTCAGTAGCTAAGGATCTACCAAAAAAGGAGCAGAACCAAGTATCTACTGATACCTCTAGCCCAACTAGTGAGAAGGACTTAAAAAAAAATACATAAACTGTACAAAGCTTGAAGAATGTCTTGCAAAAGCTGAAGAGTGGCTTGGTAAAGCAATAAATGCTATAAAAATACTTGCTGAAAAGAAGTAAGTTATTTAATATTATCTATTTGTTTTAATACCTCTTCAAGTTCAAATCCCATTTTAGATATATTATCAGTATTATTTGTGGTATTATGCAAAAACACTTCCGACTCTGTCTCAGTAGAGACCATACTTGTTTTGTCTGTTTTTTTTTTTCGATTATTTTTCTTAAGTGGTAAGGCAAGTGGAGAGGAAATAGCAGGAGAATGTTCTCTCTTAAGATCTTCCACATAAAAGCTCGCAGAGGAGGTGGTTTCTATAGGAACCCCGGAACCTAATCTCGCATTAGAAATATTAGCTATTGGCTGATTTCAGGCAATTCTATTAGCTTCTTCGCCTCTCCAAATCTGATATATGCGTTTCATTGATGTATTATACTTGTGCATTAATTTCTCTAAAACTTTTTTCCTTGGCCTTTCATTTTTTCACGTTGTATAATAAAATCGTAATCAGCTGGTGAAAATAAAGGCGCATTACAATTTATGTGTTGTCTAACCATAATCACGATAGTGTATTTTTTCAGATAAAATATTTTAAAAAATAAATAGAAAAAATATATTTATTAAGATAAATAAAATAAGTGTAG